TTTTCTTTTTTGGAAGAGATGGCAATCATTTGTGTTGAAATTGTCTAGTTGCTTTTTCATCTTCTAACAGGTGCCATTACCCCAATCATGCATCCATATTTTCATTCTCCTTCTCTATCACTCCTTTTTAATGATATAAATGACATAATTATCAATCCTATCTGCAAGAGATCTCTTTTTTTATTTATTTATACACTATGTGTTGGCTTTTGACCTTTTGGAAGAAGGTTCTCCTCTTCTTCATGGACACTGATCGCATCACGTATAATGAATTGCCATTCATTAACCATTGAAACATCTCAGTAAATGCAATTATGCATTTGATTCTGATTTAAGGTGCCATGAAGAACACAGGAAAGTTTGGTTTGACCCTGTCCCTCTGTCCCATTGATGCATGCAGGCATTTCAGATAACATGCCTGTGTCCTATCAGCTTTTTCTATGCTAATCCGTTATATGTAATCTGTTCTATGCTAATAATTGTGTTCTGTGTTTATAGGTTCATACTGAAAATCCCTATAACTTTAGATCAAACATCAGAGGTGAACTTCCTAAGCCTAATATCTTCAACACGGGTTAGTTTACCCAGTTTTGCTTCAACACACTACCACTTGTTTTAATGATCTTTAAGACTAAAATCTTTCTCTTCTGACTAAACGCTGCGCCATTGTTTTGACAGAGGCTATGCCAATGGACACAGGGGAGTTTGAAAGTCCATATGCAGATCCTGAAGAACTGCGATCAACGACAGTGAATCGGAGCGACCTGACTCTGGAAGATGGAGAGTTGGGCTCAGGCAACTTCGGCACTGTCCTAAGAGGAGTCTACCAGATGAAAAAGTTAGTCAACTAAGTTCACATACTGTAGAAACATCTCATGTGGATTTTTTTAACAGAGTGTCTATTTACACTAAGAGCATAGAGCCCACCTTGTTGGCAGAGGCTATTTACAGTAACTCTGCCCAACAGAGTCTGGTTGGGATAGACAAAATGACAAAAGACACCTGCCATACAACAGCAACAGTGGTGTAAGGTATAAGGCACGTGGCGGAAACTTTTGACGCGAACGGCCCGAGCCCGAAACAGCCTTTTGCTGAACTCGTTCTTGTCCCTTTCCCCATCACATATCAGATCAGGAAAGTGTTTATTTTCAATAAAAATGAAGGAAGTATTCAAAAAGTGGAAATAAAGTGCTTCACGGGTATTTAAAGTGTTTAGGGTTAGGTGTAGGGAGGGCTTTATTATCCCAATAAGGCGGCATCAATTGAATAATTTTAAGAACAATGATAATTTACACTCAATACGGTATTATTGCACACTGTTTTATAATGTACTACAATACTGAGGTGCAAATATCTGCCACTGTTTGCACTAATAAATAGCATCTAACTACTATGTACTCTTATTGCAAATAAAATACTGCTATTTTTACTTAGTGTCAATAGAGTTATTTGCACTTAGTGTAAATAGAATCCATTTCTATTTTCACTTAGTGTAATTAGCATCTATTGCTAAGAAAATATGTTATTTGCACTTTTTACTTTAAGAATATAAAACCTGTAAATGCCCGAAATAGTCAAAATTCAGTATCAATGCAAGATCATGTATTTTTTCTCATTCTTAAAAAAATATACTTTTTCTCATTTTCAAAAGAATTACATATTGATATTATATTCTAAATGCCTGAAATGGTTTAACTAACAAACAATACAATATTGTGTGTATTTTAGCTTTCTTGCCACAAAGCATGATGGGAAATGTGGTTTGGTTGTTTAGTAGTTTGGGTATTGAGTTTCCCTCTGGTAATTTACGACTCTACTGCACACATTTTGATGGTACATGATAAAAATGTTTCCACATCATTTCTTGGTTCATTTGGGAACATGTTATTGGTAAAACATTTTTTTGACCACCCCCCATAACCATGGTGCAGAATCATAGAGAAAATTCTTAATTCACATATCATAAGGCAATGGTCGGAGTGCAATACAAAATCACAAATCTTTGTCAAAAATGTCAAGAAATCATTAAGTAAAAAGGGAAAAACACACTGATATATTGGATTTGATACAGGCATAGTTTTGTATCATGCAGTGTGTCGTGTCATATGCATGTCCTTCATGTTATGAGATTTCATTCCGTGTGAAACTTCAAAAAGCACTTCTTCTCTGCTGTGAAAAAGACGTTTATGTTACACTTTTTGCACATCACTTTGGGCTGCATCTTTCCTTTTTGTCACACATTATTTGCCAGTGTGAGGTTTTGTCCAAGTGGACATCCTGGTTAGGGATGGGAGCCGTGGGCCCCTGCTTATCACACAACGTTGCCCTGAGGCAACAAAAAGAAAAACTGAATTTCTGAACATGCAAAATAAAAAAACTTGACAAAAGTCTTCTCTACACCTTCATACACACACATATTTTTATGTACAGTTCATGTCATTTTAAGTAAGATGACTTTCTTCTCACACCATGCGCTCCTGTGACCATGCATCAGAAAAGGAAGTCCTGTCTTCAAATGGTGCTTGATAGTGACTCCCACACCTTATTAGACTGTTCTTTGATACTTTTCGACCATTTTAATTGTTTGCAATCATTTAAAGAAACATGTACTGAACATGGGGCTTAAGAAAACTTTCCGTTGCCTGAGGGCAATGCTGTGCTGTAGAGGGTTAATGATGCCATTCATGTGCACTCAACTCGTAAATATGATTTCCGACATGGCATGAACACCTTGTTTCATTGACACAGTGTTCAGCATTCAGAATGGATCTTCTTTTATGTTGAATTCAGGACACAGAAGGTTGTTGCTGTTAAGATCCTGAAGAATGATGATAATAACGCGGCGGTGAAGGAGGAGATGCTGCGAGAAGCGAACGTCATGCAGCAGCTGGATAACCCGTACATCGTTCGTATGATCGGCATCTGTGAAGCAGAGAACCTCATGCTGGTTATGGAGCTCGCTGAGCTGGGGCCGCTGCACAAGTTCCTCCAGAAGAACAAGTATGCCACGCTAGAAATACTTCATAAGATATCAGAGCTGTGCTGAACTGTGAATACAGTGATGGCTGAAGTGCACTGATAAGCAATGTGCAGTAACTTTATTCACAAGATTCTATTAACATTAAGCAACTACTTAGTTAGCTCTTCCACACACAACAGTTTAGAATGACTACAACGAACAAGCCAAAAATGTCAAAATCGCACCATTAAAATACCATAAAGCATCATAGAACATACAATATAGGTCTGCTATATTCCACATTTTCTGAAGTCATTGGTAGCACTTTCCAATAAATTCTCAACATTAGTAAATGCATTAGCTAACATGAACTAACTATCAGCAATATATTTTCACCGCATTTATTAATCTTTGCAGTAACACTTTAGATTAGGGAACACATATTCACTATTAACTAAGAGTTTTCCCCTCAGTAAACTTCTAATTTGCTGCTTATTGATAGTAAGAACAGTAGTTGTTGTAGTAGTTATGTTTAGGGTTTAGGGACCTAGAATAAAGTTATGCAGAATAAGGCATGAATATGTGCTTTATAAGTGCTAATAAACAGCCAATATGATCGTAATATGCATGCTAATTATCAACTTGTTAATAGTGAATAGTGTTCCATAACCTAAAGTATTACCATCTTTGTTAATATAAATGTTAGTTAATGGAAAAACAATTGTTCATGTTTGTTTACAGTGCATTAACTAATTTTCACAAATACAACTTTTGATTTTATAAATGTTTTAGTAAATGCTGAAATTAAGTAACTAAGATTTATAAATGCTGTAGAAGTATTGTTCATTGTTATTGTACTAAAGTTAACAAATGAGTTATTATTCACTGAAAAATGTCCCATCAATAACAGATAAGCATTGCATTTAGTGACATGACAAGAACCAGTGGTCACACTTACCAGTCAGTAAACAAGAATCCATGGGATCTTTCATATGAGGGTGAAAACGTTTCTTATGCAGATTTTGCTTGCGTTGGTCTCATGAATTTGCTGCACTGACCAACAAAAAGCTGCTTGGTATGAAAGTGACTTCTATGTGAGCTGTGCTTCAAGTCAAGTCAAGTCACCTTTATTTATATAGCGCTTTTAACAATACAGATTGTGTCAAAGCAACTTTACAGTATTAAATAGGAACATAGTGTGTCAATAATGCAAAATGACAATAGTAAACACTCAATTTTCAGTTGAATTCAATTCAGTGATGGTTATAGTTGATGTCATCATCCAGCTTAGATCAGTTTAAATAGTATCTGTGCAATCAAGTCGACGATATCGCTGGAAATTAAGTGGATATTAAGATAATTAAGCTTCATACATTTTTACACTGTTGACTCACCAAAATGACACTAATACACTGCGTACAATCCACCTAACTTTATAACAACTTCTAGTACAGTAATTGATATGGGAATTAATGTATTTGGTAACTGGTTTTGGACCATGTTAGGAGACTGAGTTTATGCTGTGTAGAGTTTCATGACTGAAGTCATGAACAGCAGTAGTGTTGTTAATTGTTAACCGCTTTTCACTTGTGTTTTCAGACACATCTCTATGAAGAACATCACAGAGCTGGTTCATCAGGTCTCTATGGGAATGAAATATCTGGAAGAGCACAACTTTGTTCACAGAGATCTTGCAGCCAGGAACGTGCTTTTAGTCACTCAGCACTATGCAAAAATCAGCGACTTTGGACTCTCTAAAGCCCTGACAGAAGAAGAGAACTATTACAAGGTACAGTAAACAGTAACTAATCAGGGCTTTTCGACGACTGATGCACACAGTGCCCTCCAGAAGTATTGGCCAAAGTACAAAATGTTTCAACACATATCTGTACATGTTTGAACAAGTAAGAATGCAAGCCATTTTAGATCTACATACCCTCATTACAAAAGCTTTACGTTAGAGAGTCAGGGTCTAAAGCCCAGTTCACACCAAGAACGATAACTATAAAGATAACGATATTAGCGTCCACGCCAGCGAACGATATCATCTGTCCATTCTACGCGCACATGCGTCTGTCGCAAAGGTAACTATAAAGATAACGATATTAGCGTCCACGCCAGCGAACGATATCATCTGTCCATTCTACGCGCACATGCGTCTGTCGCAAAGGTAACTATAAAGATAACGATATTAGCGTCCACGCCAGCGAACGATATCATCTGTCCATTCTACGCGCACATGCGTCTGTCGCAAAGGTAACTATAAAGATAACGATATTAGCGTCCACGCCAGCGAACGATATCATCTGTCCATTCTACGCGCACATGCGTCTGTCGCAAAGGTAACTATAAAGATAACGATATTAGCGTCCACGCCAGCGAACGATATCATCTGTCCATTCTACGCGCACATGCGTCTGTCGCAAAGGTAACTATAAAGATAACGATATTAGCGTCCACGCCAGCGAACGATATCATCTGTCCATTCTACGCGCACATGCGTCTGTCGCAAAGGTAACTATAAAGATAACGATATTAGCGTCCACGCCAGCGAACGATATCATCTGTCCATTCTACGCGCACATGCGTCTGTCGCAAAGGTAACTATAAAGATAACGATATTAGCGTCCACGCCAGCGAACGATATCATCTGTCCATTCTACGCGCACATGCGTCTGTCGCAAAGGTAACTATAAAGATAACGATATTAGCGTCCACGCCAGCGAACGATATCATCTGTCCATTCTACGCGCACATGCGTCTGTCGCAAAGGTAACTATAAAGATAACGATATTAGCGTCCACGCCAGCGAACGATATCATCTGTCCATTCTACGCGCACATGCGTCTGTCGCAAAGGTAACTATAAAGATAACGATATTAGCGTCCACGCCAGCGAACGATATCATCTGTCCATTCTACGCGCACATGCGTCTGTCGCAAAGGTAACTATAAAGATAACGATATTAGCGTCCACGCCAGCGAACGATATCATCTGTCCATTCTACGCGCACATGCGTCTGTCGCAAAGGTAACTATAAAGATAACGATATTAGCGTCCACGCCAGCGAACGATATCATCTGTCCATTCTACGCGCACATGCGTCTGTCGCAAAGGTAACTATAAAGATAACGATATTAGCGTCCACGCCAGCGAACGATATCATCTGTCCATTCTACGCGCACATGCGTCTGTCGCAAAGGTAACTATAAAGATAACGATATTAGCGTCCACGCCAGCGAACGATATCATCTGTCCATTCTACGCGCACATGCGTCTGTCGCAAAGGTAACTATAAAGATAACGATATTAGCGTCCACGCCAGCGAACGATATCATCTGTCCATTCTACGCGCACATGCGTCTGTCGCAAAGGTAACTATAAAGATAACGATATTAGCGTCCACGCCAGCGAACGATATCATCTGTCCATTCTACGCGCACATGCGTCTGTCGCAAAGGTAACTATAAAGATAACGATATTAGCGTCCACGCCAGCGAACGATATCATCTGTCCATTCTACGCGCACATGCGTCTGTCGCAAAGGTAACTATAAAGATAACGATATTAGCGTCCACGCCAGCGAACGATATCATCTGTCCATTCTACGCGCACATGCGTCTGTCGCAAAGGTAACTATAAAGATAACGATATTAGCGTCCACGCCAGCGAACGATATCATCTGTCCATTCTACGCGCACATGCGTCTGTCGCAAAGGTAACTATAAAGATAACGATATTAGCGTCCACGCCAGCGAACGATATCATCTGTCCATTCTACGCGCACATGCGTCTGTCGCAAAGGTAACTATAAAGATAACGATATTAGCGTCCACGCCAGCGAACGATATCATCTGTCCATTCTACGCGCACATGCGTCTGTCGCAAAGGTAACTATAAAGATAACGATATTAGCGTCCACGCCAGCGAACGATATCATCTGTCCATTCTACGCGCACATGCGTCTGTCGCAAAGGTAACTATAAAGATAACGATATTAGCGTCCACGCCAGCGAACGATATCATCTGTCCATTCTACGCGCACATGCGTCTGTCGCAAAGGTAACTATAAAGATAACGATATTAGCGTCCACGCCAGCGAACGATATCATCTGTCCATTCTACGCGCACATGCGTCTGTCGCAAAGGTAACTATAAAGATAACGATATTAGCGTCCACGCCAGCGAACGATATCATCTGTCCATTCTACGCGCACATGCGTCTGTCGCAAAGGTAACTATAAAGATAACGATATTAGCGTCCACGCCAGCGAACGATATCATCTGTCCATTCTACGCGCACATGCGTCTGTCGCAAAGGTAACTATAAAGATAACGATATTAGCGTCCACGCCAGCGAACGATATCATCTGTCCATTCTACGCGCACATGCGTCTGTCGCAAAGGTAACTATAAAGATAACGATATTAGCGTCCACGCCAGCGAACGATATCATCTGTCCATTCTACGCGCACATGCGTCTGTCGCAAAGGTAACTATAAAGATAACGATATTAGCGTCCACGCCAGCGAACGATATCATCTGTCCATTCTACGCGCACATGCGTCTGTCGCAAAGGTAACTATAAAGATAACGATATTAGCGTCCACGCCAGCGAACGATATCATCTGTCCATTCTACGCGCACATGCGTCTGTCGCAAAGGTAACTATAAAGATAACGATATTAGCGTCCACGCCAGCGAACGATATCATCTGTCCATTCTACGCGCACATGCGTCTGTCGCAAAGGTAACTATAAAGATAACGATATTAGCGTCCACGCCAGCGAACGATATCATCTGTCCATTCTACGCGCACATGCGTCTGTCGCAAAGGTAACTATAAAGATAACGATATTAGCGTCCACGCCAGCGAACGATATCATCTGTCCATTCTACGCGCACATGCGTCTGTCGCAAAGGTAACTATAAAGATAACGATATTAGCGTCCACGCCAGCGAACGATATCATCTGTCCATTCTACGCGCACATGCGTCTGTCGCAAAGGTAACTATAAAGATAACGATATTAGCGTCCACGCCAGCGAACGATATCATCTGTCCATTCTACGCGCACATGCGTCTGTCGCAAAGGTAACTATAAAGATAACGATATTAGCGTCCACGCCAGCGAACGATATCATCTGTCCATTCTACGCGCACATGCGTCTGTCGCAAAGGTAACTATAAAGATAACGATATTAGCGTCCACGCCAGCGAACGATATCATCTGTCCATTCTACGCGCACATGCGTCTGTCGCAAAGGTAACTATAAAGATAACGATATTAGCGTCCACGCCAGCGAACGATATCATCTGTCCATTCTACGCGCACATGCGTCTGTCGCAAAGGTAACTATAAAGATAACGATATTAGCGTCCACGCCAGCGAACGATATCATCTGTCCATTCTACGCGCACATGCGTCTGTCGCAAAGGTAACTATAAAGATAACGATATTAGCGTCCACGCCAGCGAACGATATCATCTGTCCATTCTACGCGCACATGCGTCTGTCGCAAAGGTAACTATAAAGATAACGATATTAGCGTCCACGCCAGCGAACGATATCATCTGTCCATTCTACGCGCACATGCGTCTGTCGCAAAGGTAACTATAAAGATAACGATATTAGCGTCCACGCCAGCGAACGATATCATCTGTCCATTCTACGCGCACATGCGTCTGTCGCAAAGGTAACTATAAAGATAACGATATTAGCGTCCACGCCAGCGAACGATATCATCTGTCCATTCTACGCGCACATGCGTCTGTCGCAAAGGTAACTATAAAGATAACGATATTAGCGTCCACACCAGTGAACGATATCATCTGTCCATTCTAAGCGCACATGCGTCTGTCGCAAAGGTAACTATAAAGATAACGATATTAGCGTCCACACCAGCGAACAATATCGTCTGTTCATTCTAAGCGCACATGCGTCTGTCGCAAAGGTAACTATAAAGATAACGATATTAGCATCCACACCAGTGAACGATATCATCTGTTCATTCTAAGCGCACATGCGTCTGTCGCAAAGGTAACTATAAAGATAACGATATTAGCATCCACACCAGTGAACGATATCATCTGTTCATTCTAAGCGCACATGCGTCTGTCGCAAAGGTAACTATAAAGATAACGATATTAGCGTCCACACCAGTGAACGATACCGTCTGTTTTAAATTCTTGAGCTCGTTACAGCAGGATGGATTCTGATTGCTGTCAGTGTTTTATCGTTTATCAGCTGGAAAAAAATCGTTTTGAAAGTGATCACAACGATATCGTTCCTCTGTATCGTTATCATTATAGTTGTGGTGTGAACTATGCTATTCTTTAATACTGAGAACGATTTTTAGAACTATATCTTTATCGTTATCTTTTTAGTTATCGTGCTTGGTGTGAACGGATCTTAAGCCCAGTGTAGCCCTGACTGATCCTTGTTCCCTGCTCCTGCAGGCCAAAGGTCATGGTAAATGGCCGCTGAAGTGGTACGCTCCTGAGTGCATGAACTACTTCAAGTTCTCATCTAAGAGTGACGTGTGGAGTTTTGGAGTCCTGATGTGGGAGGCATATTCATACGGACAGAAACCATACAAGGTGTGAATCTGTATATTATGCTGACCGATGCTACTTCCAAACAGTTCTGAGAGACTTATTTTGTATCGTTAATCGGGATAGGAGATATATTGATTTTTTAAATATATCGATAAGCGAATATGTTTGAAAATCAAGCAACATTGTGAAATGGTGTGACTATCATAATATTTTTAATGCCTGAAAATAAATACAGTTCTTACTTGTATTCATTTAGTGACAGTGGAAAACCTATATTATTGCTATTTTAGTTTTGCATGCTAAATCTGCATTTGAACAAACCTTTTGAGTCTACTTGGATACAATGGCTGTTTGGTGTGAAAATAAAATCACCCAAGTTTTCTTACATAAATCTGAATAGCCTTCCATAAACTGACAATTTTTTTTATATATTTTTTTATTTTTTGTGGTGATGCTTTACAATAAGGTTGAATTCATACATATTAGCTAATGCTTTAGATATCATGAATTAACATTGATAATTTTAAGCCTACATTAATCAAAGTTAATGTTCTTTTCTAAATGTATTATTGTTATTTTTTAATTAATGGATATTCATAATACATTAACTTTAATACATTAAGTTAGTTAATACAACTTGAAATGTTAAAAATGTATATATATATATATATATACATATATATATATTAACATTAACCTTGATTAATAAATCCTGTAAAAGTATTCTGATACCTAATACACTAATACATAATATTAATGAATTTAACCTTGCAAACGTGAAATGTCCATAGTGGCTCATAAAGCCCAAATGTCTTCCAATTTCAAATATGCTCACTGTAGCTACATTCACACTGGGCTTTGTTTGTTTTATTATAAATGCTTTGCATTGTTATTAAACTCAATACCATTAAATAAACTATATGCAGTATGTTGTGTGGGCTTATTAGGATGCCCTAAATATTCAGATATATACCATATATTGAATATCATCTAAATCTCAAGCTGCACATTCATCCATTTGACCATCATACATGAGCTGGTGTTTGAAAGTATTACTATAAGTGAGCATATATTTTAGCAATGTTGCTTATTGTTGGCATATTGTCTGTAGGGAATGAAAGGAAATGAAGTCATCCAAATGATCGAGAGTGGAGAGAGAATGTCCGCTCCAGCCGACTGTCCGCCTGAGATGTACGACCTCATGAGGAAATGCTGGACATACAAGTAAGTGAACACTCACTAGATTAGACTTACTTGTTATAGAGCACGTTTATTTGATAAATGGGCTTTTATCAGCATTTATTTATTGATAATTCTGGATTATAATGCAAATGACTATACAGGCAGTATATCAGAAAATCAAGTTTCTGACTTTCTGTCATTTTACATTTGATTAGCATGAGTTTAATTTATTTTCTTTAATATGCTGCACATGCACATATTGATTTGAAATATTAATGTAAGAAGGAGACTAGAACACTGATTATAAACAAATATTATACCATTTTATTTAAATATCTGTAAGTATTCCAAAGAGCTGAGTAAAAATGATCAATTCAGTTCAGTACATTGAAGAATAATAAATGGTTGTGTTCTGTTTCTGCAGGCTGGACGAGAGACCTGGATTTTCTGTAGTTGAACCCAGATTGCGGCATTACTATTATGACATATCTCAGTGATGAGCTAACCCAGAGCACATGCACAATTATACAGTATTTCTAATTAGATCATTGACAACATTTTTAATCATTTAAAGCAATGACTTGTCTCATAGAATGTGTACTTCCAATCTATTTTTTTATGTGAATTGGATTAATAAGCAAAAAGTGCTTATTGAATGGTTGATTTTTCTTCTAAAAGTATGTGTTTGAAGCACTTTACACTTTAGATGTAACAGCAATACGGATCAACTGAAGGATGACCAGTTAAGAGCTAGACATTATTCTCATTCTTTTCTCTCTCTTTCGGTTTTGTACACATTTACTGGGTTTTGTCTTTATCTAAGTGCCAAGTTCTTTTTTTTTTTTTTTTCAACATTGAGTATACGGTTTAAAAATTCAGTGTTCATAAACAGGTTTAACATTTCATTTTATGTGTGGACAATGTTTATGTCACAAGATCAGAAACAATGTAAGCATATATTTTGCATGTAATCTATGGTAGTCTAAGCAAGGTCTTCATTGGCAATCTTTTAGGATTTGTTTTCTCCATGTTTCTGCTGTCCAATGTGAATTCATTGCATTCATTGTGATTTGTCAGCTTTATTCAGTCGCTCCAGACTTTGTACAAGCTTGATAACTGAACAGCATGGCATGACAGAATCTTGCTCTTCCTCAGTTTGATGACATTGATAAATATGGTACTGAGCAAACAGAATATGTATGGCTGCCATTCGATTGTCAAAAAATGCTTTAAAAATAAATTAATAGTTTTTAACAAAAACAAAAAAAGTGTGATCATTTTCTTGGATGCACAAAAATATGAATATAGAGAAATAAAAATCTCATTACATTCTCATTTGATTACAACACAGTGGAATAAAATGGGCATATCCTATTTTATTAATCAGGGGCATTTTCAGACCTCTGTAGTTCTTTGCTGTGATCCAAAACGGGAATAAAAATGGATTTAACTACACACAGAAAACTGAGGAACGCTGAACACGCAGATAACAAACGTGTCACCTTGTGTGTGTTACGGGGCTGACAAGACGGGAGACGTGCAGATCCATATGCAA